TCCATTGCATTGATTTCTGCCCTGATTTTTATAATTTCCTCCCTTGTATAAGCTTTGAGTTTGTCCTGCTCTTCTTTTTCTAGAGGGTTGAGGTTCAGCATCAGGTTGTATAATTGAGCTCACTCTGTTTTCCTAATGTGAATATTCACTGCTGTGAATTTCCCTCATAAGACTGCTTTCATTGTGTCCCATCAATTCCAATATGTTGTATTGCAATTGTCGTTTAATTGTAGGAACTGTCTGATTTCTTCTTTAATTTCCTCCCTGATGCATGGGTTATTCAAGTGTTTTGTGCAGTTTCCATGTGTTTATGAAATTCTTGCATCAACCCCGCTCTTACCTACATATCTTCCAGGAAGAGTTACAGACATCATAATACAGTTATACATGTACATCCATGATTATAGCAGCATAATTCATAATTGCTGAATCTTGCAAGTAGCCTATGTGTCCAGCAACAGTTGAATAGAGAAAATGTGATATTTACACAAATTGAGTACTATTCTGCCAGAAAGATGGGTAATCTTGAATCATTTGTATGAAAATTGGGCACCTTGAGACCATAATGTTAAGTGAAATAAATCACACATAAGCTGAAATATTACATATACATAAAGTATAAAAATATAAGTAAAGAGAAGAATGAAGGATAGACAATAGGAGATAGAGAGATAGATCTTTCACAAATGGGAAAGGAATCAAGAGATGGAGTGAGAAGGGAGGGGAAAGGGATGAAAAAATAATTAAGATATGTTATGTATTTGTACAAACATCTCAGTAGAAATGTAATCATTATGAACTATAAACATGAAGAATAAAAACCAAAAAAGAGTAACTGAACTACAGCACATCTAAAAAAAGAGTTAATGCCTGAATAATCTTTTCCCTTAATATATAAGTATATAACTGCATTTTACAATAGGATTGCTTATTTTATTCAATTTTCAAAATGAATGCAGTCAAAAGTTCATTCATTTTGTTTAAGTTTTTCATCACACACCTTTTCTCTGTAGTGGTCACGGTTTTTATTATTATTTATTTTATAATGGGCTTTTAAGTTATCCTTATTTGACATAAACACACTTTGTTTGCATACTGAACATACACAAATCTTTTCTACTTCTCTCACAAAACCTATCCTTTTCCATTTTCTTGAAACATCTCTACAAGTCTAGCTTCCATTCTCTACTTTGAGTAAAGATGTGAGTGCCATAAATATCTTATTTTCTCATATTTATTATAAGAATAACAACCACACACACAAATATATGACAACATGACACTCAGGATGTGGGATAAAATAATTGTGGAGACTATGACAAACTGGAAAGCACATGCCCCATGTCTAAAGGTGGCAAGTACTTCTTAGTTCCATCAATTGTTGTTTTGTATTTCCAGAATTTTTTTTTTTTGAGAAACTAGAAAACCTAATTTTTACATTAAACTTAATGATTATTCACAGTAACTATATTAGTCATGTGTTCAACATGTTTGTTTCCCCTCTTTACATAAGAACTTTTTTTTTTTTTGGTAGAGGGGACCTAACTCAAGATCTTGCGCTTGTCAGGCAGGTGGCAGCACCACTGAGCTAAATCTCTGGCCTTAAAAGCTTTATTATTCAAATTTATTCTGGAGACAGTTTATAAACATCCAAAACTTTAAAAAATAAAATTTAAGTCTCATGAACTCTTTTTGTGAACAAGATGGAGAAAGTTAGACTGTCTATATAATTAGGTGGATTTATATCATATTCAATGAAAGCATTGATTAATCAATCAGTCAGTATAAACCTGAAGATTAGTCTATGTTGTCATGAGCATTCTTTTTTTTTAATATATTTTGCCTCATCCCAAATCCTCCAGAGTCCTCATCTCCTGGCCTTTCCTGAAACAAACAGTCCCAAAATCCCAAAATTCAAACTTTTTGTTTTGAGACAGGGTCTTGCTATGTAGCCCAGGCTGGCCTCGAATGTGGGGCAATCTTCCTGCCTCAGCCTCTTGAGTGCTGGGATTACAGGTGTACACCACCATGCCTGGCCCAAAATTCAGACTTCTGAAGACCTAATCCCTTATCAAAAGTATCCCTTCCACTTCCTACCCAATGCCTCCATCCTGATTGCAATCCTCTCTTGATCTTTACCACAGTCCACTGTAGCTATGAATAAATGAAAAATGTCTTTATTTCCTCCCTCCAGCCATCTTTATGGCAGAGACCACTTCACATTTATCATCCCTGCCCAGCACTGTGTGATAAGTGATTAAGTGATAAGCTGAAGAGGGCTCCTCAAGTGGATGTAACCTTCGGAAATGCAGGAGCCCCACATCGAGATAACACTATTCCTTCACAAAATGTGAAACTGACCCAGGTACAAAATGTGTAGTCCTAGCCAAGGGCGCCTTACTAAGGAATGCGTTTCTGTGTTTCGAGTTTGGTTTCACCCACAGTTTGACCCCTACTTGTACCTGGTTATTAATGACACTGACCATCTTTTCCTCATCCTCTGAAGTGTGGGGACTTTCTACTCCCTTCACAACTTCTGTGGAAGGAGCCACAGCACTGTTCTCCATTTTGCAAAGAAGAAAATGGAGGCCCAGAATGAAATCCATTCCATTTCCTTTTTGCTGGAGTTAGGATCCTGATCCCTGTGAAGACTCAGCTTTCCCTGACCTCACTGCCCTGCTCTATAACCAGAAGGTTCCCAACATCTCACCCTGCAAAGCTGCTGCCTTGTTCCAGGGTGTTCCTAGGCTTCACCTCTATATTTATGAACTTCTCTGGGTGTCAGGGTACATTGTCAAAAGGTCAAGTTCCCTAGCTCCTCTACCACTCTCCTCAGTGCTGGATGAGGACAGACGCCACCTCTTGCACCCAGGAGAGAAGCACCTTGCTCCTTGGTCCAGGAGGAGTCAGAACCAGTGAGGGGAGAGTGAGCTCTAGTAGCCAAGAATATGTTCAATGGGACAGAGACCAGTGAGAAAATCAGGGGACTGTTTCCAGAGGGTTTCCACCCGAGAGTACCGGAGAAGAAAGTGGTGGCAGTGGGCACAGGCGGCAGGACCCTGCCTGAGCCAGTCACTTCTTCAGGGTACCCAGGCTCTTGAGAGCCTACTGGGCCTGGGCCAGCTGCTGCTGCAGCCTCTGGCAGTGCAGTCACTGGAAGCACACTTCAGCAGGGTCTGCATCTCCTCCACTGCCCAGTGACCTGGGGTGTTGTGGAAGAGCCGCATGGCCCAGTCCCTACAGGAGGCCATCAAGCAGCTGGTGATGTTGAAGGCCAAGTCATCAATACACTCCCCGTGGACCTGCTCAAAGCTCTCCTCCTCGCCGTGCTGCATGATGTAGAGATGAATGCTGGTGTCACTGCCCAAGGCCAAGACATGGGTGTCAGGGGAGAGTGCCAGGTGGCACAGCATGGTGCTTGCCTCTTCAAAGTGGCCTGTCCTCAACAAACAGGGGTCCTGCTGCTTCCTGTATTCCATGTCGGTGTCCCACATTTTCCATGTGCCATCCTTGGACACAGAGGCCATCCACCCGGAGTCACTGGAGAAGGCGAAGCAGTGGACAGCTGCCAAGTGGCCCTTCAGTTCAAAGGCTCGCATGACCTCCTGGAATTCCTCCTTCTTCCCGAAGCAGACTTCCCAGACCTTCACATCTGGAGTGAAGTCACACGAGGCCGCAAACCTGCTGCAAGGGGATATGGCAGCATAGGTGTTCATCTGGTTGGTGTTAATGGTAGACAAACCCTGACTTTTCAGATTCCAGATGAGGACAGTTGTGTCACTGAAGGCTGTCATGATGAAATTTCCTGTGTCAGCAATGCCAATGTTGATGACAGGTGCCTTGTGCTTTCTAGGGGAGTCCTCTGGGGTGGCTGTGAAGGTAAAGCCTCCATCTTCTAGCATGGTCATCTTGAAGACCCGGAGGGTGTCCCCACTGGCCAGCAAGACAATGAAGGCTGTGCAGTCAGGGCTGAAGCGCACCAAGGTGGCGTGGTCCAGCTCCACGTTGGCTCGTATGCTATGATGTTCCAGCTGCAGGAAGTCCTTGGTGCTCCAGATGCGAACGGTGCGATCGCCTGCACAGGTGGCCAGATACTTACCATTGCTGCTGAAGTCCATGCACAATATGTTCGCACTATGGCTCTTTAGTGCTGCAGCCAGAAGGCGGTGGGTGAAGTTGTGTTGCTGAGGCTTCTCCTTGCGAATCCGCTGCTGCTGTTTCTGCATTTTGGATCCTGGTTTCTTGGGTCCATTTGTATTTTGGGCTCTGGAGCCGAATCTCCTTTCAGACAAAAGGAACTGAGGCCCGACAGCCCTGGCCTCCGTGGCATTCAGCACAGCCTGACCATGGCGCTCCTGCCCACCGCGGCCGAACGTATAGACACGCTGGTTGCCCTTCTTCTTCTCCTCTTCCTCCTCCTTGGCACGCAGCCACCCCCGCGCGATCGCCACCGTAGCCATCAGGGCAAACAGCCCGAACAGCAGGGAGAGTGCCATCACCTCCGACATCGCTGGGAGCTCCATGGTGGCCACGCCCGCTGCCACCTCAGGCCATGACGTTGTCAGCGTCCACACGTCTCCACGCACGCAGGGGCAGGGCCCCTGTTATGAGCATTCTGGCCTCAATTTTGAGCTATTTATCAAATTAGATCAGGAGTCAGTGAGCTATGGCCTGACATTCAGTTTCTTATTTTTGCAAATAACATTTTATCGGAGGAATGGACACATGCCTGTAGTCCTAGCACTGTAGAGGCTTAGGTGGGAGGATTGCTTGAGTCCAAAAGTTCAAGAACAGCCTGGGCAACAAAGCAAGACCCCCCCATCTCAAAAACATGTATTGGAACATAGCCACTCATGTTTCATCTATGGTTGCTTTTGCATTACAATGGCAGAGTTGACTATTTGTGACAGAGATTGTATAGCCTACAAGCCTAAAACCTAAAAGCAGGAAGTGAAGCTCAGTGGTAGAATACTTCTCTGGCATGCAAGATGCCCTGGATTAAATCCTCAGTACTACCACAAAAAATAAAAGAAAAAGAAAAGACAGAAGAAGATATTTGCAGAGCCCCGAATTAGATAAAGACAAGTAGCATGCCTACCAAATCTGAAGATGACACAAATGGGAAAGAATAGTTAATACGTTTTATGGTATAGTTGAAATTTGCAAAAATCAGAGCAACTAAAAAAAGTACACCATATAATCAGGCTGAAATTTTATGGTTTATAAAGTGTGGTTAGTTAACCAACTATAAAAGTAAAAAATGTGAAATTCAGGCTGCTGTATTGTGTTCAATGCCTCCTATCACACTTACCCAAGCAGTAGCTATATCATGAACAATGTTAGAGTAAATAAGGGAAGAGCCATCAAGTTAAAGATTTAGATGTTACCATGTGGCAGATGGAACAGGCTTAGAAATTATTGAAAAATATGTATCAATTCTATATGGAGAAAAATTTTATGTTCCAGCTTTATAAAAATGATGTGGGTTCCCCTTTTCCATAGGTATTCCAGAAGAGGTAGAATCACTTCTCACCTAAGAAGTCATGGATACTTCATGTTCCAGGCTGGCAAATTATAACCTGCAAGTCAAATCCAACCAGCCACCTGTTTTTGAAAACAAAATTTTATTGGAACACAACCATACTCATTCATTTATATATTATGTCTAGCTACTCTTATACTACAACCGCAGCAGAGCTCAGTAGTTGTAATAGACACTTTACAGCTTGCAAAGCCTAAATATTTACTACCTGGCCTTTACAGAGAATGTTTGCTCACTTCTGACCTACAATAGTGGTTCTCAGAAACACCTGCAGAACTAATAAATGATACAGAGACATAGGCATGCTGAATTTTTATCTGGTTCCCCACTGATTACCACCATCATCATCATCATCATTATCATCATATTTCCCAGCACTAGAGATTGAACCTAGGGCCTCAAGGAATGGTAGGTAAGAATTCTATCATTGAGCTACACCCTCAGCTCTGCTTAATTTATAATAGGTTTATTGAAGTATAATTCACACACCATACAATTTATCCATTTAAAGTGTACAGTGCTTTAAAATATATTTTCAGAGCTATGTAGCCATCATTCAATTGTAAACAACCTCACAATGCCAAAAAAGAAATTCCATACACATTAGCAGTTGTTCTTCTTTTCTCCCCCATTTCTACAACACTACATTTTATCTATAAATTTGTCTATGATGAACATATCATATAGATAAAAATCCTACAATATATGGGGTATTTTGTGACTGGCTTCTTTCACTTAGCATATTTTTAAGGTTTCTCCATGCTGTAGCATATGTCTGTACTGTTTCTTTTTATTGACAAATAACATTCCATGGTATGAGTATACCACACTTTGTCTATCCATTTATCAGTTGGTGTATATATATATATATATATATATATATATATATCTCCACATTTTGACTATTAAGAATGATGCTGCTATGAACAAGTTTTTGTATGGATATATGCTTAGAACTCTCTTGGGTGTATACTTAGGAATAGAATTGCTGAGTTCTTTAGTTTGGATGTGGTTTGTCCCTCAGTGTTCCATGTGTTGTAGGACTGGTCGCCAGCACTGTACTGTTGAGGTGGTATGGCACCTTTAAGAGTTGGAGCCTAGTGGGAGGTCTTTAGGTCTTTGGGGGTGCTGCCTTCTTAGGAGAATACTAGTTTCCTGGAGGGAGTTTTCATGACAGTGAATTGTTATAAAAGCCTGAGCCTGATCCCTCAGTCTTCTTATGGCTTCCTGTATTTGGATATGATCCCTTGCTCCCCCACCAGCTCCCACCATTTCTGTCCCTCATGATGTGATACAGCCAAGAAGCCCCTCACCAGAATTGAGGTGATATCAGTGCCATGACCTTGAACTTTTAAAACTGAGAGCTAAACTCATTTTCTTAACAAGTAATGTACCACAAGTATTTTGTTATAATAACAATAAAATGACTAATACACTGGGTCATATAATAAATCCACATTTAACTTATTTAGGAACTAACACACTGTTTTCCAGAGAAGCTGTACCATTTGGCATTCCCATAAGGAATATATGAAGGTTAAAATTTCTCCACAATCATGCGTGTTGGCTACTATCTGTCCTTTTCATTACTTCCATTTTAGTGGACGTGAAGTGGTTGCTCATTGTGTTTTGATTTGCATTTTCCTAATAGCCGACAATATTGAGCATCTTTTCTGTGTTTATTTCACAGTGATTCTGACGACACTGAAGTTTGAACCAGTAAAATGTCTGTAAAAACTTCAAGATTCATTTTGGACATTAATGATCCTGTAAAGATAGAGCCAGGGAGACACATAATTTGCAAAATTGTACCCACTCATTCCTTCCTGTTCTATATAACTCTGGCCTGCAGGTTGACCTAGCCTAACTCCTGTTTCATAAAGCTGTATCTTATTCCCTTTTAACTATGTCCTTTAAAAATTAATATAACTTTTTAAATTAATTGTACTATTGTATATATACCCAAACAAACAGTACCATCTTCTAAATTGATTATCACAATGGCAAATACTATTCTCTTGAAATAAGACTGCATGTGCTCACATATATAGTTATTTGTTAACAAAACCATGGAAAAATATTAGTCTTTAGAGAAAAGGAAAACCAATTCTGTACCTTTCATGATCCATTAGCAGTTTAGCAATGTTCAGACAGAAGTCTAGAGACGTACCAAGATGAATTATTTCCATGACAGCTAACAAAGTTAAAAGAATGAAATAATTATATCAGCTTTTAGAAAGTTTAGCTACTTTTCAATTTTTTCCTCTACTAAAAATCTATTTATTAAATATCTGCCATATATTTTAACTAAAAATTTATAGAAAAAGTTAAATATTAATAATTGGTGCTAGAGATTAGTGATACAGGCACTTTTAAATGGATGGTACAATCAGGCAATACTGAGAAACAACTTGGCAATAGTGTATGCTAAGAATACTGTGGTTAAGAGCTTGGGATCCAAAGTCAGGCAGACCTAAATTTGAAATTACTTGCCTTGCTACCTGTATGGCCCTAGGTAAGTTACTCAGTTTTTCTGTACCTTAGTTTTGCCACCTGCAAGATTGGGAATACACCACCAATCCCTTATTATTGTTGATAGGATTACATAAGATAATTTTACCTATGGAAATTATATAGCAATGCAACTTGCACTTAGAAAACATTCAACAAATGGTAGATGCTGTTATACTTATTTTCTTTACCTCAAAAATTACATTTCTGAAAACCCATCTGAAATAAATATGGTAAAAAATTTATGAACAAATAGATTAAAAGCAGAGTACATTATGACAAGAGAAAGAAAAACATACTCTGAATTACACTGTGGAGTAGCCTCAAACTGTTATGCAACCATTAAAATTGATGAGCATAAAATATCATGGAAAAATGAATGTACACAAATATGAAAATGTTTCTAGGACTGCTAAGGAAAAATTTAATAAGATTATATGCATTATATGGTTACAATCCTGTAAAATATACAAAACAAACTAAGAAAAAATACTGAAAATTGAAATTGCTAAATGATTGTGTCTAGATTTAATGATTTATTCAGCAAATATTTAATGAGTATATTCTCTTTGTCAGGTACTGTCTTGGTCCTGGAAACCCAGAAGTCAACAAAACATACAAAAATCCATGATATTGCTGAGAATGGTGAAGCATGCCTGTGATCCCAAGTATTCTGCAAGCTAAGGCAGGAGGATCACAAGTTCGAGGTCAGCCTGGACAACTATGTAACTTAATGAGACTCCATCTCAAAACAAAACAAAAAAATATATAAAAAACACCAAACAAACAAACACACAAACAAAAAGGCCAGAGTTGTAGATCATTGCAAAGGCTTTGGATTCAATACTTGGTATAGGTTCCTAGGGCAGAGAAGGTGAACCAGTCCCAGCACCCTGAAGGAGGCTCCACAGCCACTGTTCCATGCTCCTAGGGCAGAGAAGGTGAGCCAGTCCCAGCACCCAGAAGGAGGCTTCCCCACCACTGTTCCATGCTCCTAGGGCAGAGA